CTGTTCCATGTTGCTGCTGATCTGTTTCATGTTGCTGCTGATCTGTTTCATGTTGATGTGTTCGTGCGTGCTCATCTGCTCACACAGACTCATGTTCGTGCTGCTGTTTGGCGTAATGTTTTTATACTATCAGAGTTTAGTGTATATTTAGTTGATGTTTTTCTTAGTTCATATCTTTGATCTTATCACTGTTTTTATTTTACATTTTATTGTTGGATGTAACTGGGACCCTGTGGACATCATGTTGTTCCACCACATGAGATGAGAATGACAAATAAATCTGTCTGACTCTGAGAACTGAAAGATCTTCCTCCCATTCTGTTTTTATAAACTCTAGGAACCACAAGTAAACCTGCAGTCTGAGAGTCAAGTGCTCTGTTAGTAAAATATGGAACAATAAGATCTGTAATATAAGATGGAGCTAGGTTGTTGAGAGCTTTGTAGGTTAGAAGTAAGATTTTGAATTTTATTCTGGATTTGACAGGGAGCCAGTGGAGAGAAGCTAAAACCAGTTAATACTCTAAAACCCAGATAAACAATTTCAAATGTTCTTTTCAATAAAGAGCTTCCTTGGCTGCTTGTTTTCCATTGAGAAGGCACAGACTTGGTATTTTGCACTGAAAACTAAATATGTAGCTGAATATTTTAATGACTCGTCAGAACAAATTCAGGTACCAACGCAGAAATAATATCTGCCCCCAAAAAACATTTTCTTAAAACAAAAAAAAGTTTTAAATTCTTTCAAATGTCAAACATAAAAAATGAACAAAATGTGATTTAAGAAGTCAGGAAATAATTTAAGAATATAAAGTCAAACCGTAATAAACTTAGAAGAATCAGTCATGGCTTCAGTTCTTTGGATGTTAGAAAAGATGGAGGTCCGTGTTCATCAGCTGCTCATCCAGAAACAGAAAACTGGTTGTGCATATTTTGAAACATGCGTGGACCATGACGTCTTCAGTAACTTCCTCCTTCAGTTCATGTTCTCAACATGTGACACGTATGTAAATCTGCTGTAATCTACATTTCCACATGATGTTTCTCACACACACTTACCTCCATCTTTCTGAAGATATCTTCAGATAATCAGCCACAAACTATTAGAAGTCCCCCCCCCCCCCCCCACTAACAGCAGCAAACAGCCACAGTCCCGTCGTCGCAGGGCATCGGGCTGAGCTCAGCGCGTGACCCAGAATGCACCTGTGTGTCTCCAGGAACAGTGATCACCCTGGGAGGAGCGCACAAGTTCCGCTTCAACCACCCGGCAGAGGCAGCGGTCCTTCGGGAGCGCAGGCGGGTCGGTGCTGCTCACCTGCACACAACAAGATGCTGTTAATGAAGTTTATAATAATCAGAAGATACTCCAGCTGTTGGTGTTTGTTGTGTTTGCTGTTTTCAGGCCAGTGAAGGCGTCTCCACCAACATCTTCCATGATCTTTCTGCTGCGAGTCCTGAGAGGTAAATACTGAACTTTTGTCACGTCATTTACACATTCTGATAAATTTAAGTCCAACTCACAACCTATATATTTCATAGGATTCATGCGTGTTTACAGAGCAGCGTGTTTTTCCTCTGGTGGGGTTGTTTTTCATGACGGTCCCAGCTGTTTACAGATGTTGCTTAGTGACTGCCAGCAGCAGCTCCATCAGCTGGAATAACAGTTTTTTCATTCATGCGTTCCTCCGTCTGTGCTGCCGTCGTAGTAGGTTGGAGCTCCCGCAGCAGCTGGGCGTCTCCTGCGCTCCCGTCCACGAGCCTCCAGTCAGGCGGCAGGTGGAGGAGCAGAAGCGCTACGTGGAGAGTCTGCGGCAGGAAATTCAGGCTGAGCAGAAACAGGGGGACACAGATCTGGCAAGGGAGCAGGCGTGCCTGCAACAGAGCCATGCTGAAGGTGACTGACTTAATACGTTCGAATCTGCCGCTGCCAGAGGCAGTAATGCTCTGCCATGACTTTGTGTGCGTGTTCAACATGGCTGCCGCAGCTAATGGGCTTTAAACAGTGCAAACATGACTATAACTCAGGCACTTTGAAGGATATTGAATTGCTGTAATGTCCAGACTATAAGCTGCTGCTTTTGTCCACGCACGTTGAGCACCACAGCTCGTACAACGCTGCGGCTACTTTATGGATTTGTTATTTTGACGCACTAACGAGCTTCCTGCCACCAAAACATTTTGCCTCGTCACACTCACAGAGTTACCCAAGACACGTCTCTCTTGGGGGGTGGATCCTCATGACTCAGTGAAACTACCTGTATAATTAAAGGTAATCAAAATTCAATGAATCTGATCCATCAACAGCGATGAGATTGTTTACGTTTCAAAGTTTGGCCAAATCAGCGCCGTCATTCCTCAACTCGAGACGGTCTTAGTTTAAAACTTCAGCTTTAAAGGAGGCCAGCGATATGCTAAGTTGAAGCAGCACTGAGTAGAAAATGTAGCCGTTTGATGCACGTTATAATAATCTAAAGTTAGCTAACGCTAATAATAAGTGTTTTCT